ATCACGAGACACTGATAAGCACGAGCGCTATATATATATCAAGTACGTGTTGCTCAACTGTGTAAACGTCATAGTCACACAACAACTTGTCACATATATGTAATGTTATTATTGAATGAAAGTCTTCTTTCTTTTGCCGATGAGACCCCGCGATGGCGAGGCGAACAAAGCTGTATTTTTCGGTGAACGAAAAACATACGATAGTTGGTTAAAAACAACAGAATTGTTTTCTTCTCACTATTTCTTCCATATGTTCAGCAATAACGATGTACTTTTACTTGTATTTTCTTTTTTGAACTGTCTTTTAGTTTAAGAATTTCTTTGTTCATGGGAGTCATGATTTTACTACTTTTTTGTTTCATCCACGTCTTTTAGTTGTTTGATAGTAAAATTCTTTAAAATCTTTGCTTACTTTCACCTAAGATAAAATGGCTGCCATTTCGATTTCCCCCTGGATTTTCCTCAAATTTTTCTACATAAAAATCTGTCATCTTATTGGCTAAAATCATTTTCTATTGTTTATTATCCAGTCAGATTGCTAGAATTCTGCTCGTTATTTGCACGGTGTTACACATTTTTGGACTGAATTACAGATTTCTGCACTGAATTACAAGATTTGGCACTGTGTTACCTTTGAACTGCACTGCTCACAGCCAATCAGAGTCGAGTAATTTTTTCGTATGTTATTATGGCATAAAATTGTTTCCTGACGATGTGATACAAGGGTAAGGGAAATATCAAGCTATATATCTTGCACTTTCGGCTACACTTAAGTGAAAAATATCGTATTTTTTTCTTTTTCTTTCAAGCTTACTTCGAAGAAAATTCGATTTTATTAAAGCTCTCAAATTGTTTGAATGACAAAGAAATCGTAGAATCAGTTATTCTTCTATTGACGATTTGTGTTTCTAATTAGAATGATAAAATCTACCCCACAACATTTTAAAAACAATCATAAATCATAGTATAATAAAATATTTTATTAGTTGATGTACTCATTACTTTCTCCACACTTAATCGAACCCACTCAATGCTCCAAATGGGCGCTTTTTTCCCGTTATTTTTCAACACCACTTGCAAAACGTTTTTCTAAAATGACTTTCAATTGATTGCGTTTTGTTTTGTTGGGAAAAAGAAAAGGTATACAGCTGTATAACAGTGAAATTAGATGCAATAGAACCACTTTTTCACCGAAAAAGGAAGGAACTTTGATTGGTCGAAAACCATGTTTGATGAGAGTATCAAAACACGCTATCGGCATTTTAGCGCGCGTGAGTATTGCAACTGTCAGATTTTAATCTATCGCGCGCGTTCATTGGTCAGTTTGAATAAGACGGCACGTAGGGAGAATTTACTTAGACTTTGGGTTTCTTCGATCTATTCGCGCGTTTGTTATTTTATAAAACAAATCAAAAACAGTTTTCCGTATTTCATACTCTGATCAAAACAATTAACCTTTTCGGCGCTTGCTTAGATTGTGTTACGGTCACCAAAAAAGTTCGGACATCGTTCTCGGATTTCCATACAAATTCACTGACTTTCTTTAGTTAGCTATCTTAACAGCAGTAAGAAAAGCTTCAATCAAGCTAGAAAAATGATCATTTACTTGTATTTAGAGATCTAACTAAACATTAACCAAGTAAATAGTTCATTTAAAGTCTGTGCATTTGTACAGAAATTCGAGAACAATGTCCGAACGTTTTGGTGACCGTAAAACATCTAAAACAATTTATACCCCGATACCGCTAGCGACGCTGCGTGTCGTGGTTTCCTACGCTCTTCTCGTGTTCTCTCAACATCCCGCGTGTTTTGACCAGAGTATCAAACATGGAAAACTGTTTTTGATCTGTTAAATCAAAGATGTTTATGGTATGTAATATCCGTTTCCTCTGATCTTTTTCTTTTGTGATATTGATTGTCTTTCTCTTTTCAATTCAAGTGAAAGAGAGCATAAATATTCCTCACAGCACCATTTCGATCAAGCATACCATTACTTGTACATGCATGAGAATCAAACACATAAATGCAATTTTA